CAGCATGAAGCAGCACAGAGACTGGTTTTCAGAAACTGTAAAGAAATACATTTTGTGTTGGGATCTGAGAAAAATGGAAGAGTTAACAAACTAATAAATGTTTGTCAATAAAGTTATCAACAGAAAAAATATATAATGCTGATAAAGTGTCAGATTAGCTTAAAAGGATTGCTACTAAATTACTTGTATTTTGGCTGAATTATAAAGTATTGTAAGGGGAATTGGTCATTTGTCTAAATTTAAGGACATAAAATAATAACGATTAAGGTTAGAATAAAAAAAAGTAAAACAGAAGTGATGTCTACTCCTGATTTTGCACCCAAAGAATAAGAAGCAACTTGGGAAATACAGATATAAATTTAGATAAATTAAAGTAGTCATGAAATATTGACTTTATGAGAAACAAGTGTAGAATTTTGTATATTGTATATAGAATTTATCATAAACTCCTACATGTTTGCAAGTGTCGTGATCCATTCAACAATCTGAGAGACTTTAAATTCTTCATTCCAAATTAAAATCACAGTTCTAAAATCACAGTTCAGAACTGTGATTTTAAATGTCACCCAACACTGTTTGTGTTGGCGCTGCTTGTGGTTGCCGGTTTCTTGTGCAGTCTTCACTAATTTATCAGAGCGCATCCCTTAGATTGTAAATGAGCAGAGTTGTGCCCAGTGCCGTCTTAACTCTGTGGGTAACTTTGTACTATTAGAACCACACCTCCTTCTTCCTGAATCTTAATTTCCTACATAGTAAAATGAAGAAGTAAAATTTTCTAAAATACTTTCCAACTGTGAATCTACCATGACCTAACGTACCAAGTTTAATGCACAGCGTCCCACCACATTAATTAAAAGTACCACCATAGACATATCAATTAAAAGAACATCCAACGCACAACGACAATTATAGAAAAATAAAGCAATCCAAATGGGAATTCTGAAAGGGAAGGGGAAGCCGGCTCTCCCCTCCTGAAAGCCCACACTGTCTCCAGGAGACGGAATCCTGAGACTCTTGGGCATCCACACTTCATGTCAATATAAAGGGGCAGGAAGTAAAACAGTACATCGATTCAGATTCCCTGCTGCAGGATACACGGGCAGAACTTAGAGACCTCTTGGCTTTGTTAAAGGTAAAACTAGTTTTGCTCTTTTCCTTCTATGGTCGTCTATCACTAATGGATAATGTGGTTCTATTTTCAGCAGGTTCAAGAAAACAAAACACACATCTACCCGTTAATTTTGTCTTCTCCAATGTTCAGGTGAGAACACAAACGTAACCAGAGGTTTGGAGTTCAGTGGGAATGTTGGGGTAGCCTTCAGGAGACCCAAACTCCTTCCAAGCCCATCTGCAGAGCAGGTGCTGAAGTGAGAGTGAACCTCCCACTGAAAACAGGGCTCAGAGCGTATAAATTAACTATTAGTTGCTATAAAGAAAAAAACAATCTGAAAATTAAAATGCCAGTCGGAACTGTACGTGCGAGTTCAGTGAGGACATTCAAAGTAACATGCAGACTCAGCAGGCGTCTTCTCCAGGACGCGGAGTCAGTGGCAGACACACCAGCAATCCTAGGGGCCGAATGAGCAAGCTACCAACCTCAGGGTCCCTTCAGGGTAAGAGCCTCAGCCTTAGGCTAAGTCACTGTACCAGGGGGCCCGTAGGGGTGTCTACTGCATCAGGATGTGGAGGTTTTAAGCGAATTACAATATGAAATATGCTTAGAAAAGTAACGGCATGTGGTAATAAAATAATTCATATTTGTAACTATTTTTACTAGTAATATTATCTAGGGTTTCGGATACGCTTGACTTTAATACCTATCTTGTGTACTCAATAAATCTATGCTGAGCTGAATCTGATGATGAATTTTTCACCTCCTGGGTTCCACGCAGGGACTCCATAGTCCATGAGATAAAAATCCCCCACTTAGGTTTCTCTGTGAATCAAGTGTGCAATGATTAGCTCTTCCAGTTCTGCTCTTCAAAATTATTTTAAACGGAAAACGTCTGTTCTCAGTCAGGTTCGCTGGGGGCCAACGTGGGAAACCCTTCCTGATGTGGACGAAAGGGTTGTCACCGGGCTCTGAGGCCGCCCGCGGTGCTCTGCTTCTAATTCTAGAAACAGCTGTGACCTTTGTTAAAAGCAGGCCTTCCCAATCTCCAAACACCTGATAACTTCTCATGGTAAAATGGCTTTATTTTCATAATCAACGGAAGGTGCAGGATTTCAGTTATCCCTCAAACTAATGGGGTTGATCCCAATATGATTTTCTGCCTGGGACAGAAACCCTGAAATTCTGTACCTAAAAGAAATCTGAGAGTCGCCTGAGCCCGGGAGGCAGACGTTACGGTGAGCCAAGGTCGAGCCACTGCACTCCAGCCTGGGTGACAGAGCGAGACCCCGTCTCAAAAAGCAAGAAGAAAAAAAATCCTGACCTCAGTTTCTGGGTATATACTTTTCCCATAAACCCTTTCCCCTCAATTTTCCAGCCCAGGTATTTCCCCTCAATTATCCAGCCCAGGTGCGCATGTGTTTTCACAAACGTGTTCGCTTCATCTCTAAGGAGGAGGGTGTCATGTGGAAGCAGCAAAGATCACTGAGAAATGGACCAGGCACCTGAGTGTTCTGATGGCCCCACTTCTCGTAGAGCAGGGATCTTAACATTAGATCCACGGGCTTTTTAGGTGTCAATAATTCACCTAAAATTGTATAAAACTGTATGCATAAGTCTACATGTACGAGCATACGCCCATTTTTCTTAAGCAGTCTTTCATGTTCACCAATAACCTAACTTTTGGTAGAGAATCTGATGCTATAGACTTTTAAAATGTAATTTATTTTTTTCTAGCCAATACAGCATAAACACATTTAGTGTTTTTACTTTGAGATTTTCTATAAAAATCTCTACTAAGCAGGGTAAGTTTAAAATGATTACAAAACCTTCCTTGATTTTTTTCTTTGCTGAAGCCCACTCTTATTAGGTATTTAGAACAAGTGGAGGAAAAAACATAACGGTTAGTGATTAGACTACATAAAGGCAGACAGGAGATTTATCTACACTTCGGGAAGAAGAAAGTCTCAGAATTGTGGGACTCTTGCATGAGCCCATGAAGACCGACCATGGCTTCTGGAACGCAGAGGCCAGGGTTAGAATGTCTGTCTCCTCCAAAGCTCACGTGGAAACTTCCTACCCAGGGCAGTGGTGCTGGGGTGTGGGCTGTGGGAGGTGACCGAGCCATGAGGGCTGTGAGCTCATGAATGGGGTCAGGTGCCTTCACACAAAAGCTTGGCTGAAAAATCTCACCCCTTCCGCCTCCTGCCACACAAGGACACAGTGATCGTCCTCTCTGGAAGATGCAGCGTTCAAGGCACCGTCTGGAAAGAGAGCAGACCCTCACCAGACCACCCAATCTGCAGGCACCTTGATCCTGTGCTCTGAGCCTCCAGAACTGTGAGCAATGCATTTCTGTTCTTTGTAAATTACCCAGCTCAGGCATTTTGTTACAGTAACTCAAACGGACAAAGACATGCAGTCCTGGAGGCAGTATGAAGAGGGCATATGTTGGGATGTGGTGCTGGGGCTGGGGTTCCAGGGAAGAGCAACCGAAAGGGGGACCCTGCCCCCCCATCCCAGAACCTTCGCCTCCTTGAGCCACAGGGGACATGTGGGGGAGCAGGAGGGTGGACTGGGTGCCAGCCACAGAAGGAGGGGCTCCAAACAGAAGGTGTGGGCCAGGATGCTCACAGGGGCACTTGTACACGATACACATCTACACCAGAACGGTTTACGGTGGGATCTTTGTGGACCTTCTCGGGAAACCCGTCACACTTTGCTAACATCTGCACCTCTTAGGAAACACTTATCACAGGATTGTGAGTCGGGGCGGGGGGACCTGTCCACCTCATTTTATTTCCAAGGTAAAGGACAGGAGGACTGAGAAAACCAAATAAACACAGGGTCTCCTAAGCCTGTGCCCCCAGAAAGGGCCAGCCTAGAACATAGGAATGGAAATGGTTTGGGGAATATTTTCAAGAACACACTGAAAAGAACCTCTTTTCAACTACATGATTCTTGAACATCAGTTTTTGCAGCTAATGGATGTATTTAAAGGACAGCAACGAAAGGTTTCTGACTAAAGATGACACTACATATATCTAAAATTATTTACCCCTACTAGAAAGAAAATTAGGAACTGACAAAATGATTGCAGTTTCAATGCAGTATGTTTGATTTGCAGTAGTCCTCTTTCAAATAAAAGTTGCAAAAACAAAACAAAACAAAATCCCCAATAGTCAGTATTCTGCCGCATCTGATAAATACATTTCTTACCCTTAAGGAAATTTCATCTGTCAGTTGGGAATATAATTGCAGCCAAGAAGGACCTTGTTTTAGCATCAAAATTCACATTTCCATCCACAGATACACGGCGACCAAGGTGGCCCCAAATGCCGGAACACCCACCGCCTTGCCTTTCACGGCCATTGTAGACGGAAACCCTGGGGCTTCTGTGCTTCCGGCACGCACACCAGTCACCCTGTGGCTCCCCTCTGGTTTCCAGGGAGAAGATTCCACATCTCACAGGGGGGCATTCGGGGCTTTTTTTTTTTTTTTAGATGGAGTCTCGCTCTGTCGCCCAGGCCGAAGTGCAGTGGCAGGATCTCGGCTCACGGAAACCTCCGCCTCCCGGGTTCAAGCAATTCTCCTGCCTCAGCCTTCTGAAGAGCTGGGATTACAGGTACGCGCCAGGATTGGGGATATTTTTCACATAAGCTTTACACGGAAAATGTATTAGCAAATAAGAAAGTCAGGGAGAGAGTAAATAATCCAACCTTAAAAACTGTATTTTATTTTGTGACACAGTCAAAGCCAGTAGTTGTGGATATTTACATAACAGGCAACAGCTTTTGCTCAGCAATCATTCCTGAACCACACTTTTCAAAGACCCTTCATGGGGCTCCTCTGAAACACTCCGAGACTTCCCTGAAGTGGCGGCACTTACATTCCTGCCCTGGTGGCTTCCGCCCACACAGACGACGTCTTGCTTCTGAATTGTCAGCACCTCTTTCGTCAGCTTCAGCCGGACGTCATAGGCATTTTCAGACTCTTCATCGTACAACAGAGCAACAGCGGTTTTCGTCTGTAGGGACAAAGTGGAAAGACAAAGAATGGTGTGAGGGCAGGAGCCGGGGTGGGGACGGGTGACGCAAGCCTCCTGCTCCAGACTCTTCCTAAAACGCACGTGTAGCGCTCACGTGTGCAGAGGAAATCTGTGCTCGACCGATAAGGATTTGATTCATTTATGCAAAAAATAATAAAGTGTTGAATAATTGTTCCTGAGCAGTTTTTGTGGGATTTATATAAGGTGTGTTTTTAAAAGAAAATTAGCCCAGCATTTTTTTTTTTAACTTGAAAGGTTCTATAGTATTTTAATCAGTTTTTCCCACTTCCAAAAATATACATATTTTTTAGTTTAACTAAAGTTATTTCAATAAAAATGATAGTTTTTAAGATTCACAAAATATCTGTATGAAGGTTTGTTGGCCTGGAGTAGGAAAGGAACACACTGGGAATAACCACAGCCCAGGAGGAAGCGGCCTTCTCAGAAGTGGGCAGGTGGGCGTGGCCCAAGCTCCTGCAGGGGCTGCCGCTGTGTTCTGGGAGCTGCGGAATGGGCCTGGCCTGTTGTTCCCGGACAGCAAGCAACACAGTGTGGAATTGCTGGGAAGTACTGATCAGGAGGGACATGTAATTAGTCATAGAAGATAAACCTATCAGCTCTGTTAACAGATGAAGGAGGCACAGTTCAGAAAGACACCTTTGGGTCATTAGAAACGTCGCCACCTCCTCGGGGAGAGTCAGGGAAAGCTGCCCTGGGGGATCCAGAGCAGACCACTGGCCAGGTACAGGGCTTGGGCATCCCACAGGATAGCGGTTATGCCCAGCCGCATGCCCAGTGCCTTGTCAGGACCCAGCCTCCAGAGTGCAGGAGCAGGGGCGAGAGCCAGGGCACTTAGTCCTCGCGCCACGTGGCAGGGGAGTGGGACAGGCACATCTGGAGGCCAGTGGCCCAGCAAGGAGGGCTGAGACCCCACCATCCTCACTGCCTAGAGCCCCGGTGCTGATCAACCCTCATATTCAGAGCCACACATGAGGGCAGAGCCTGGCCCACGGACAGGGAGGTCCCCGCGGGTGAAGGATGAGGCCATGGCCACATAGGACCCTGCAGCTCTACAACTCAGCTGCCGTGAGAACCAAACAGGGGGTCCAAGGAGCCCCAGCGCCTGCGTCTGCCCCAGAGATCTGGAGTTCACCAGGTGAGACCCAGGTTGAGCAAAAGGATTTTTAAAAACCAACTCATCAAACGCCTCTATTAAGTAGCACGGATGGGTAGGAAGGGTTTGCTGGGCTTGTTTCCACAGTGGAGGCCTCCTCAGCACTCACGGGAAACAGAGACCCTCGCCAAGGGAAGCTGCCAACCAAGCCAGAATCTGCTCCTCCCATCATCCTCAGCTGATCCCCACGCGCAGGAGAGTTTCAGGAGGGTTCCGAGTGGTTTCCTCTTGCTTTCAATCAACACAGCACAAAAAAGAGTGTGTGCCCCACTGCATTGCATCTGTTAATTTAACAACCACACATGCAGGACTGTGCTCGCACACACTGTCACACGTGACCATCTGGCCGGCAGCCCAGGGACCGGCCACTACAATCCACACCTCACCAGCATAAGTAAAACTGCACCCAGCGGAAACTCTAATGGTTTCTTCCCATCCCTGTGGGCGCTGTGTGCTCCCACCCACTTCGCCGACCCCAGGGGGCTGTACATGGATGAGACTGCCAGACCAGGTGGGCGCTGGAACTGGGAGTGCTGCTGTGGCTCTGGGAGCTCACGGGCCATCTGGGGATCCACCAGGTCTCTGTAAGGGGCAGTGCCTGTGGAGGCACCAAGGGCAGCTGGGAAGGAAGCCCAGTTATGGCTGGACCCAGGCCCCCTGGCCCTTTGCAGCTTGACCCTTAGGCTTGCCTGACCGCGGGCTAAGCTCATTGGAGAGATGAAGAAATGCAGACGTGTCCCTAAGGGCAGGAAGACCCTCCTCAGTATTTTCCCCATGAGCGTGTGTAACGTGTAACTCTTATAAGTGAACACCGATTGGGAACACAGAATTCTAGCTAACCAGCGTGAAACAGGATGAAATGTAAGTGCCTGCAGCTCCCTGCCTGACTTTGATGTGCGTTCTCACCACACCTGCGAGGATATCTCACCATTGCCTCCTGCACTTACTCTCACACATGGGTGCCTGATGACAGGTGGGCATCCCCCACTCCGCTGCACACAGAGGGAAGCAGGGCCAGCTCTGCCACAGGGCAGCAAGCACTGAGCCCCGAGCCCAGGCGTGTGGGCTTGACAATGGGAGGAGCTGAGCGATGAGGCTTCCTCAGGACATCGCAGCCCGTGGAAGCCAGAAAGTGGTCCTGCTTGCCTGGCTTGGGAGAGGCCCCAGGTCCCAGCCTCTCTCCTTGCTTCTCCTGGGGCCATGGTTCTCACCCTCCCTGCCAGTCACTATGACTGACAGCTCTCAGGCTCAAAGACAAGGAAGGGCCACCAGGGTTCTCGGTAATGATTCCTGCAGGATGGAGCTCAGAGGCATTTCCTTAATTGTTGACCGAGGCCACCCCAAAACACAAATGCCTACTGCTCTTACACGGTCCAGACCTTTCTCATGCCACCCAGGAAGCAGCCGTGCCTCTTCCGCCTTCCCTTCTCTCTGTGCGAGAGTAAATGCAGGAGGCAATGGTGAGATATCCTCACAGGTGTGGTGAGAACACACATCAAAGTCAGGCAGGGAGCTGCCGGCACTTACATTCCCTTCCAACCTCCCCTCCCACATCCTAGAAACCACCTGCACACACACCCCCATGCAACACACTTGGCCCGCATGCATGCCTCCACACATGCACACAAAAAGTCATGCGCACACACACACAGGGATGCATGTACACACACACACAGACACAAACACACACACACTCCCATGCAACGCACATGGCCCACATGCATGCCTCCACACCTGCACACAAAAACTCCTGAAAACTCATGCACACACATACAGGGATGCATGCATACACACAGACACAAACACAGGCATACAGACACACACACACCCATACAACACACATGGCTCATATGCATGCCTCCACACATGTGCACAAAAACTCATGCACACACGCATGCTTCCACACATGTGCACAAAAACTCATGCACACACATACAGGGATGCATGCACACACACACACAAACGCAGACACACACAGACACACACAAATGCATGCACACACAGACACATAGGCACATACACACCACAGCAGAGCACATGTATCAATATGCTGAGGTCAGGACAGGAATAAAAGTTTTAGCTGATACAGACCAAGCCTGGAGTTGTAAAGTTGGAACCCAAAACTCAAAGTAAAAGTCAAATTCCTATAAAAATAAGTCACAGGCAGTGTTTGGAAGGAGGCTAGAGGGCGTATCATCCTGCTAAACAGGCTTTCTCCACGATGGCCTAGGAATCTCCCTGGCAATGGGAGCTCTGGCTAGCCTGACTTCTCCAGATCCCCCAGTGACCGACGCATCTGAGCACATTCTTGCTGCAGACTTTCACTGAGCCATCGCGTGTCCCCCAGCCACACCACTGCCCAGGACAGGCCCCCTCGCCACCGCCAGGGGGGACCTGCGGGGCTCTTGGGGAGGACCTCAGGGGCGGCACTAATAAGCAGCAGGACCCGGAACGGGGTGCAGGGACCCCGAGCGGCAGATGCGTGGTAAGGAGCGGCCACAGTGAGCAGTGGGCCATCCCCAGAGAAGCCGAGGCAGTGCAGCCGCCTTCGGAGGAAGGGCTTGCTCTGCTCGTTATTCAGGACGAGAACAGTTTTTAGTTTGCATCAAAACGATGCGATATTGGTCGATGTTATATCTGGATGTAAAGTCCACACTCACATAGAATATTAATTTCCAACTAATCATCACGCTGACCGCTCACCATTGCTACTGGTTAACTGTCCTGGTGAGGATACTGCCTGCAACCCAGGGACTCTAGTAATAGAAAACACTGAACTTAGTGTCCACAGAGAACAGTTTCCACGACAGAGGCCAAGGGAAGGGTGTGCCGAGCTTTAACAAACAAAACAGAATATTTTAAATACATAAAATTTTAAATGCTAGCTAAGGAAAGCAAATAAGATTCAACAAAGACCTCTAATGAATCATCTGTTGCTCTGTGACGCCGTCTGAACCAGATGACGCTATCTGAAATAAACCTAACTTCTGCTCAAAATGTTAAAAAATTAAAGTCAGGAACACAACCAAATTAGAGGTAATTAGGCATTCCAAATCACAGTTGCAATTTATGCTAATCACTTTCTTCTATAACAACACACGTTCTGTCAAATTGGCCTTAGTTTGCCAGAGAGAATTATTTGCAGTAATGTGCGGTAATATGCCCTCCGGGCACTGCTTTCTGTGCCCCTTCCTGTGCCCTGGAGACATGACCTGTAGCCCTCCAGAGAAACCTCTGTGAACAGCCTGAGCACGGAGTTGCTGAGATAAAAGCAGGTCACTCAGCAGGAGGAATAAAGGCAGAGGGAGGGGACGCGGGTTCCACTGGGTCCTGCCCTCTCCAAGGCCCACATTTCCCATTGCTTAAGGAATTCTGGGTATTTAATGAGCTAATTGAATGCATCTCCTTGACACATTTCTTGGAAATAAAATAGTTATTCCAACTCAACTTCTTCAAAAGTAAACTTTCAGTCTTTCCCATTCAAAACAAATAAAAATATTTAAAAACTAACAAAAGTAAAACCCCTTCTCATCCAATGATCCCCCCACCCCAGTGGGTGGCAATGGCATCACCCCTGTGTCTCGGTTGAAGCCCCTCAGTTCCGTGACCTTCCTCCCTCCTGACCCTCGGTGTCCAACTCACCAGCAAATCCCCTGAAATGTCTCCCCTTCTGCCTGGGGTCACAGGGTTCAGCCGCCTTCAAAGCTGCTTCACTGACATCATAAAATACCTACCTGTTTCCAGCCTTGCCCCAGTTCAGTGTATTCTTAAAGTCACAGCTGGGCGGCCCTGATAAAATATCGTTCAGGTAACATCATTTCTCTGAACAAAATCTCCCCAAAGTTTGCCATTTCTCAAAGGAAAAGCCAGTGTCCAGCGATGCCCTGTGAGGCCGGCATCTGCAGTCTCTCCCTGTCCCTGGCCCAGCTGTCCTGCAACACCATTGTGTCTGCCCGGGATCCGTCCACCTGCCCTGCCCAGCTGTCCTGCAACCCCATTGTGTCTGCCTGGGGTCCATCTGCCTGCCCTGCCCAGCTGTCCTGCAACCCCGTCATGCCTGCCTGGGGTCCATCCGCCTGCCCTGCCCGGGGTCCATCCGCCTGCCCTGCCCAGCTGTCCTGCAACCCTGCTGTGCCTGCCCAGGGTCCATCCACCTGCCCTGCCCAGCTGTCCTGCAACCCTGCTGTGCCTGCCCAGGGTCCATCCACCTGCCCTGTCCAGCTGTCCTGCAACCCCGCCATGCCTGCCCAGGATCTGTCCACCCACCCCACCCACTCCTCTCCCCAGCATCCTCATCTCCTGGGGTCTGGGCTGAGAGCCCCCACCTCGGCAGCTTCCCTAACCGGCCAGTTAAAATCAGAACTCCGCCATCCCCCATTGCTCTTCATACCTCTTTCCAGCTTTATCTTTCTC